AGTTCACAGCTGACAATCCCAGTACAATTTGTTTTTTTGTTCGTACTTTTGAACTGCACGACTGCTTCAAAAGTATGAACATTTTGCTTATTTTTTCTAAGTACGGTATAGACACGGGCACAGCTTTTAAAATACGGACGCGTGGTAATCCTAAATACCCCTACAGTCCAAAGCCGAACCAAGAAAGTCTTTAAATCATATGTCAGTCTCCTTGTTATCATTTATTCTAAATAATCTACAGTATACATCAGTATACTACAAAGTAAACTGACTGACTTTGAATTCTTACACGCGACCAAGAATTTGAAGTCAATCAGTTCACTTTGGAGTGTTCCCAGACCTTTAAAGTGTTTTGAAGGTCACTACTGTAAATGCTTGCATTTACAGCATTTACAGTAGTGACCTTCAAAACACTTTAAAGGTCGGAATCTTCAAACACGCGTGAAATTTGAGCTCACATTTTATAATTTTTCGATTCCCGAGATATGAATTTTAGGAGATTGACAGAAAAAGTTCAAAATTGCTTAATACTTTTTTTACGTCATTTTAAAAATTATTATTCTTAAATCTAATTAATTTATTTACTAAAAAAGTTACTATAACCCGTAGCGCCATCTGTTGGCATAAATATTTTAAATCGCTATAACTTCTCACGTGCGTATCGTAGACACTTGTCCAAATAAATAAATAATTCAATATATTTAACTTATTAGTTGTATATATGTCGATATATCGTGTGTTATAATACACATAAACAGGTTTAATTTCTAATAATATTTAAAAACTAACCCTTTATATTCTGTTATTAATTAAACCTTCGGCCATATTGAAACAGCGCCCTCTCACCAACTTTAACTAAAATCATGTCGAATTTATATCGCGACTGAAATATATTTTAGAAAAAAATACGATCGAATAAACATATAAATTTATATTTATTTGTTATTTTATCGAAAATTTATTTTTAAATGTTTAAATTCATTTATACACAAACTATTGTTTATAGTGACTTCGTCACAATGCCGGCTGTAATTTTCCGTCACGGTGCTCTCAATTTAGTAGTGACTTGCCCATACATCATACTTTTTCTGTTAACGATAGAATCATGCCGTTCAAGAGAAAATTTTTGAATCGAAATAACTAGCGTTGCTAACTATCTCCCATCGTGTGGGACTGTCAAGAATTTTCGAACGAAATCCCACAATACACGTAAAAATCCTACAAAATGTTTTAAAATGATACTAGAAAAGAAATTTACAAAAACATATTTATCGAAATGAAATACACGTAAGTGCACGCTCTAAAAGACCCGGAAAAATCGAAGAAAATTTTTCGAAAGATGGTCGGTCCAGATATGTCGGGCCTCGTCCCTCATCATCCGACCGTCCCATTGTGGGCTTGCTAAAAGAAACCCTCTTAATGACCACAAGACAGAAAAAGTTGAAAAAACTATTACTGAAAATTTCGTGCCGCTAATTGCAGCGGCGTGTCGTCCATAGAAGCGGTGGAAGTACCGGTGGACATTCATGTAAATGCAGAAAATAATTTATCAAATTCCGAATACAAGAAAATGATTGAAGCAAAATTAAAAGAAAAAAAATTGTAAATTATTCATAAAAAAAATTTAAAAAAATTACCTTATTTTTTTTTTAATTCAAATATTTACGAAAATCGATCCATCGTTGACGCGTCTTTTAACGTTTGTTTGAAATTCGTCACACGTGACGACTCGCAGTTCGATTGTGTTTCTGTTCAGAGTCGGACGTGTTTTTCTTGCGGTGGTGAATTGTGTACCTTTTTTGCAATTTGCGGAGTTCGAGGAAGAAGAAAAGAGATTTTGTCTTAGTCCATATTGACCCTAGACGTAAGAATTTATTTAATAGAGTGGTTGCGGCCGACGTTTTCATCGCGAAAACGTGTACGTCGGACGTTCAGCGCCGCCTTCCTGTAAGCCTAGAAGTTTGACAACGATGTTTGGATAGTCAGTGGAATCATGCTGGACATTCCAAACGCCATTGTCAAACATTTAGGCTTACAGGAAGGAGGCGCTGAACGTCCGACGTACACGTTTTCGCGATGAAAACGTCGGCCGCAACCACTCTATTAAATAAATTCTTACGTCTAGGGTCAATATGGACTAAGACAAAATCTCTTTTCTTCTTCCTCGAACTCCGCAAATTGCAAAAAAGGTACACAATTCACCACCGCAAGAAAAACACGTCCGACTCTGAACAGAAACACAATCGAACTGCGAGTCGTCACGTGTGACGAATTTCAAACAAACGTTAAAAGACGCGTCAACGATGGATCGATTTTCGTAAATATTTGAATTAAAAAAAAAATAAGGTAATTTTTTTAAATTTTTTTTATGAATAATTTACAATTTTTTTTCTTTTAATTTTGCTTCAATCATTTTCTTGTATTCGGAATTTGATAAATTATTTTCTGCATTTACATGAATGTCCACCGGTACTTCCACCGCTTCTATGGACGACACGCCGCTGCAATTAGCGGCACGAAATTTTCAGTAATAGTTTTTTCAACTTTTTCTGTCTTGTGGTCATTAAGAGGGTTTCTTTTAGCAAGCCCACAATGGGACGGTCGGATGATGAGGGACGAGGCCCGACATATCTGGACCGACCATCTTTCGAAAAATTTTCTTCGATTTTTCCGGGTCTTTTAGAGCGTGCACTTACGTGTATTTCATTTCGATAAATATGTTTTTGTAAATTTCTTTTCTAGTATCATTTTAAAACATTTTGTAGGATTTTTACGTGTATTGTGGGATTTCGTTCGAAAATTCTTGACAGTCCCACACGATGGGAGATAGTTAGCAACGCTAGTTATTTCGATTCAAAAATTTTCTCTTGAACGGCATGATTCTATCGTTAACAGAAAAAGTATGATGTATGGGCAAGTCACTACTAAATTGAGAGCACCGTGACGGAAAATTACAGCCGGCATTGTGACGAAGTCACTATAAACAATAGTTTGTGTATAAATGAATTTAAACATTTAAAAATAAATTTTCGATAAAATAACAAATAAATATAAATTTATATGTTTATTCGATCGTATTTTTTTCTAAAATATATTTCAGTCGCGATATAAATTCGACATGATTTTAGTTAAAGTTGGTGAGAGGGCGCTGTTTCAATATGGCCGAAGGTTTAATTAATAACAGAATATAAAGGGTTAGTTTTTAAATATTATTAGAAATTAAACCTGTTTATGTGTATTATAACACACGATATATCGACATATATACAACTAATAAGTTAAATATATTGAATTATTTATTTATTTGGACAAGTGTCTACGATACGCACGTGAGAAGTTATAGCGATTTAAAATATTTATGCCAACAGATGGCGCTACGGGTTATAGTAACTTTTTTAGTAAATAAATTAATTAGATTTAAGAATAATAATTTTTAAAATGACGTAAAAAAAGTATTAAGCAATTTTGAACTTTTTCTGTCAATCTCCTAAAATTCATATCTCGGGAATCGAAAAATTATAAAATGTGAGCTCAAATTTCACGCGTGTTTGAAGATTCCGACCTTTAAAGTGTTTTGAAGGTCACTACTGTAAATGCTGTAAATGCAAGCATTTACAGTAGTGACCTTCAAAACACTTTAAAGGTCTGGGAACACTCCAAAGTGAACTGATTGACTTCAAATTCTTGGTCGCGTGTAAGAATTCAAAGTCAGTCAGTTTACTTTGTAGTATACTGATGTATACTGTAGATTATTTAGAATAAATGATAACAAGGAGACTGACATATGATTTAAAGACTTTCTTGGTTCGGCTTTGGACTGTAGGGGTATTTAGGATTACCACGCGTCCGTATTTTAAAAGCTGTGCCCGTGTCTATACCGTACTTAGAAAAAATAAGCAAAATGTTCATACTTTTGAAGCAGTCGTGCAGTTCAAAAGTACGAACAAAAAAACAAATTGTACTGGGATTGTCAGCTGTGAACTTTTAGACTGTTTTGCATTTTTTTGCAGAGGCGTAGCCTCTAAAGAAAAAATCTCATCTCTGCATTGGAAGATAGTTGTTCCTGGTGATTAGACATGATGAAAAAGTTAAGACATTTTTAATCTCTGTTACATTTTATTAAGATTTGATTTATATTTTTTTGGATGTTTTGTTGGTCTCGGCTCAATTCTCTAATCGATGTAGATTCCATATAATTGATAACCGTGTAAAATTAAATAAGATTTTACATAGTTAGTAATTATTGTTTCTGCTTAAATGTGACAAACACACTAGTACAAATGTATATACAAATATCTAAGAGTTTATTTTTCATCCATAGCACTAGTGGCTACATAAGCAGTCATCGAGGATAAATGTATGTTTACACATTCTAATTTGAGTCCTCCTAATTTCAGTTCTAATCAGTTCTAATCACACTAATGGACATTTGTTTATACAATGTTTGGACTTTTATCATCAGTCTATTCTAATATCAATAAAATGATGATTTATATTTATTAATCTATCCATACTTGATGCAATTTGACCATCTTGATTGAGAAGAAAGCGATATCTTATATTACAGAAATAAAGTAGTATAATAATAATGTTTATTTAAAAAAATAAGCAAAATAGTTTGTTACATAACTTAACTATTGACATCGATCAATCTTTGGATTTCAAAACTGACCATTCGACAATTTAAATAAATAAAACTTATGATTGAATTGTTGAGAAATAGTTCTTAGGCAGAAAGTGTTCAAATTTTTATAATTTTTGAGCTAAATAATTGGATGAAGCCTGTTAGAAGAGTTTTAAATTAATTGAATCATAGAACATTAGATTATTTGAGGAATTTATTAGATGATTATTAGATATGGTATTAACAAATAAACTATACAGTTATAGAAACATTATAATTTTTATCAACATTTTAAACTAAAATTAATCATTTTTATTTACTTTTTTTGCAGTTAATGGAAGAAAAAAAAAAACATTAAGACATGTAAGGAAATAGAAGAAAATGGCTTCTGTTTTATGGAAATTTTCTTCTTTTAGAACATTTAAATGGGAAATTTTATCAAAGTTTTCTACATTTACTGTAAGAAAATTTTCTAATTTACCAGAAAATTCATTTTTATCTACACACAAAAGATACTATACAAATTGGGATAGTGATGAAAATGAAGCAAATGAAACTATTAATAGAAATCTTTGGAGAAATGCTATACCAAAGTATGCCCAAATTGTAATTTGTGGTGCTAGTTCTGTTGGCAATGCAATTGCATATAATTTACTCAAAAAAGGATGGACAGATGTTGTTGTTATGGAAAAGGGAAGGTAAGAAAACAAAATATTTTTAATAATAATTCTTCAAAAATTATTTTGTATTAATTCTTAATTTAAAAAATTTATTAATGATATAAAAAATTTTTTCTGTTCATTATTTTTAAATTGTTTGGATCATTGATTACTATTTACTTTTGTATAACTGTTTTCTTTTATGTTTTGGTTTCCTTTTTTTTCTGTCTATATTCATTGTTATCGGCAATGTAACTTTTATCTTTTCTTTCCTCGTGTTGTTGTCTTTTTTTATTCTACAACTTAAGTTCTCATATCTGTAAAATAGATACTTTTATATTCATTTTATACATACAATCATATCTCTGTAGTGTGAGGGTCGGACCGAATAAAATAAAATTAAATAAAGGAGCTCCAATTAAATTAAATATCTTTATTAAAGTTAAACAAAGAAAAACTTCATTTTTCGAAATTTTACGAAAAAGGATATACACATTTCCTTCCCACGGAACCGTTTCCTATCTCTCAGGAACCCGAAAAATGATTCATGAGGAACTTATCCTAAAAATCGGCGATTGGCAAAACTCAGTAACGTGACGAAAGGGATAAAAGAGGGGTGACGACAAGAAAAGGGGGTCCGTCGTCGCCATCCGTGAACACGGTCCGTCATCACCGTTTGTGATCGCCGAAACCCGTGCTGATCCTCATCGCCGCCGTCCGTTCCTCAAGACAACTTGTCCGATCTGGTTAGAAAACATCCGATCGTCCGATCCCCTCCTCGTAGAGGTATGATACCCATTAATGTAAACTCTCTCTCGGCGCGTTTCCCTCCACTTCCGCGTGTCCGCTCGATATAAGCTCAATGTATTTATGTTAGTTATGTTATCGTCTAAATAAATCCTTGTTTTGTTGTTAATTGGTGTCTTTACTTCGAGTATCGCTCACACTTTGCCGACGACCCCTCTCACCTCCTCCACTCGACCTGACAAGAGTCCCGACTTTCCGGGATAGAAAAAACATAAACAAGCCATCCACTGACCAGTGGGCAGTTCTCACCGAAATGTTGCCTATCTAAAAGAGGTACGACTTAGTCCTACCTCAGGCTACCCACAGTAGTATCTATATCTTTGATTCTTATTTAACAGATTTTGTGATAGATGTTACATTCTTTTCTATTGCATTATTGTTAAGCATTCTGTAAATGTTAAGAATGCTAATGGTTCAGGAGTCTTTTGAAGCTTTTAATCAAGATTTTAAACATTTTATTAAGTTTTATCAAGATATTTTTTGAGATAGTTCATCTCACCTTGAGATCACAACTTGAATAAAGTTCTTTATTCAAGTTGTTATCTGAGATGAGACATTATGTTATGAAGATGGTTTGTTATTTGAGTTGTTATCCAAAGATTAGATGAAATGTCTCAAAAAGCATTTAATGTTGATTAAAACCTTCAAAGGACTCATTAACTGTTAGTGTTCATAATATTTAATATTTGAATAATGAAGTCATATAGTTCTGAACAGGTTAAATTTATACTACAAATGAAAATATTTTGTAAATTAAAGACATAGAAAACTAATTTTTAACTATATTCATATTTCAGGATAGGAGAAACCTTATCATCTATAGGTAATAATATTATAAGCACATTTAATTCATCAAATGATGGAATAATTACACAGTATAATATTGATTTATTTGAAGAATTAAAAACAGGAGGATATGATATAGGTAATTATAATTAATAAATACAGTATTTAAAATATATTAGAAGAATTTAGAATTTATTAACAATTTTAATATATTTTAATTTTAATGTATATTAATTAATGTTTGAAGTATGAAACTCTTTGAAGTGGTTGATAAACTTTTACAAGTAACAAGTCATGAAGAATATATCCCCAAAAAATTCTGTTCTGATGTTTTTATCTTACCGAAAGAATCACAACGGCATAAGAAACATTCAAACGTCATTATATATTTTGGCATATAAGGCTCTCATCAGATGAACAGAGATATGACAAGTTCTTTGACTGATGCCTGTTATAAAAAGTAGCATTTTGGTGTTTTTTAGTACTTCTAATTACAGACATTATATATTTTCTATAAAAAACTCATGAAGGACTGACTCGATAACTGAATACATAATTTAGTATATCAACAATAGAAGAAAAGAAAAAAAATTAGAAAACAGTTTAATCATAAATAAAAGTGATACAATTTATGAAAAAAAAATAACAATACAGGAATACATAATATTTTTCTGATTTTTATATTAATTTGTTGATACAAAAAAGTATTTTTTATCAACAAATTATATAATTTTATTAAACATTATATTTAATTGTATAATTGCTGGCTGATACAGTTCCTGGAAAGTGGTTATTATTCATAAACAGAATGGTATAATTCATTTTTGCGATAGTACTACACAATACTTATGATGTTATATCAGTTTGAAATTATCCTTTTCTTTTTATTTATACTTTCCAGAAACTTTTTGAATGCCCCTCTTATTTGCCGGTGCCTTTTATCATTGGTACTTGATACTGGATGTTGCCAATGATAAAAATACAAAGAATCAATATAAGTTTAATTAAACTATTTCTCATATCAATACATCTCTGAAATGTCAAAAATTCTGTTATAAATTTTTTTTAGATATTTGAAAGTGTGAAGCCCCTCTTAGTATGGGGCCTCTGATGTCTGAGTCAGCCCTGTATATAACACCAAAATACTATTTTTTTTTATTTATAACAAGCATTAAAGTATTTGTATGCTTATTTCTTTAAACCTATGTAATTTCACAGATATTAATAATGTTGTTTCATAAGAATTTGTTAAATATTTTCAAAGCCTCTAAAACTTTTATTGAGTATACTGTCACTTGTTTCTTAATTTATAAACTAAAAAAGTGATTTTGGTAAAGATCTTTTATTAAGTCATTCATTCCAGTATTATGGTATTATTTCTAATTCATAAAAATAATTTCATTGATTTGTGGTTAAGTTCATTTTTTTAAAGGATTGTATTATATATTAAATTTGAATATAGAATTTTAAGTAATATTTGGAGTACAAATATTACTTAAATTTAAAATATAATTTATAAAATATATTACTAACCATGCTGGAAAGAACAAGTGGCCTGTTTGTGTGACCAGTGAGTTGCGATGAACCACGCTGCTTTCCAACATGGTCAATAGCATTTTCTTACATAATGATTAATTGTGAAATTATCACATTGTATAAAGTTTTATGCAAAAAATGAATTTATTGTAGAGAAATTTAAATTTAGAAGAGATTCATATGTCATTTTAACCATTTTCATTTTAGCATTTCCAAAGTATATTTGATATTATTGTCTGTTGTCCAACACACCAAGTTTCAGAGCATACTCAATGCAAAGTGGATTAACATTGCACATCATATGTAAATTTTATTTGGTTAAATTACATTTTTAACTAAACTAAAATACCTTTTTTCAAAAACACAATTTTATTTTAGTTTAGTTAACTCTTTAAAGGTGTAATATATGTTATGTTTCCAATCTCTATTTAGTCATATTTTTTGTTTAGTGGAAACAAGTTTAATATATTCTTTGTAGAAATTAATATTTTATCAGTTTTACTTTTTCATTTGCAGCAGGTTATTGTGGTATATATTTGTAATAATTACAATCAGCTTTTAATTTTGTTATTACATTTTTAATGATAAACTCAGAAAGGATTGTTTACTTACAATACAGAAAGGTCTGAGCAATATATATTTTATTCAGTTCAGCTTGAAAAATAATGTCTAAATCTGTTGTGAACACTACTGTGAGGAGAAATGAACAGTTCATGAATTGGAAAATAGACACACTATATTGCATTCAGTGTCAATTGAATTATTAAAATTTTTTCCATAATTTTTTATTCAAATTTGTGAAGTGATCTTCAGTTATTTTGAAACTATACAGAATAAATTAAATTCCTTTACTAGTTCTGCTAGTTCTCATTCCCATTTTGTAAAATAAAAAAATTGGAATTAGAATTAGTAGAAAGTGTCGTGTGCCACTTTCTACTAGTGCCAGTGTCGTAGCTCTCTTATCCAATTTGTAAATTGTTTACTTCTCCTCACCCTGTGTCTTTAGATTTTTACAGATGCAAACCTAAAAGCATTGCAAATTTTATGTTTAGGCATTTATATTTCAACCTGAATTGAATAAAATATAGATGTCTATATTGTTTAGAACATTTATATCATAAATGAATATTTCTTTTTCAATTCATAACTTTTATGATCCAAGGCCACTTGATCGCTTCGCTAGTAAGGCCGTCCGCCGTAAGGAAAATTGCCGTATTCACACTGTTTCCATTTTTTGCCGCTGCGAAAGATTTTGGCGCTAGTTATCGGTGAGAATCGTCTGTTGAGTAAATTGGTCGTTTTGTACTTTTGTGTGCGAGTATAGCTATTTTATGAAATTGTGATAATTACATATAGTTATAGTTGTATTTAGTTATACTTATTCGTGAGTTATATACGGTTGACGGGATTTCTCTTCAACAGCAGCTTGGTATATAGATATAAATACATTCATTGTGTGGTCAAACTGTGGAAAAAGTTCTCAGACTGCATCATAAGCCCATTTCTAGAAAAATATTAAAAGTCTAATGTTGTCTAATTCATATTGTAAATTTCTGATGAGGAGGAAGCTAAGTACATTTCTGGTCTTTGACTGAATTTTACAAACTGTAAAATTCAGTCAAAAACAGTGTACACTTTATTCAATAAATTAATTTTTCTTATGTAATAAGCTTTTGCTTTTTCTATAAAGAATTTTATTTATATTAGAGATGTAAACTGAAGCAATGTTACTTTTACCATAGTTATACTTTTAATTTCAACTTTAAAACAATATATGTTGCTTTTGTTCACATTTCTGTGTACTTCTCCAATATTAATTATAATAAGTTCTTACCTTCAATATCACCATATTTCCGTGCATATTTTTCGAAATTTTTTTACTAACTAAAAACTTTGCTTATTTTTGCAAAAAAAATAAGCAAATTTTTTCGAAAGGTTATATCGGTATTTATTCTTACAGTCTTGATTAACAAAAGTAATAATTTTATAACAGATTTAATACACAACATTTTAATAATTATCATATATGGTCCGAAAATGTGAAAATTTTTATAGTAGACAGTGCATACTGTAGGTAACCTAGTTTTACTAATTTTGCATACTTTTCGAGTAAAAAAAAATTTACATTAACGATTAACTACTGGTATCTTTAAGAATCGAAAAGAGATGATTAAATAGTATTAATGTGAAAAAGTTTGTATTTTCCATGCCAATAATACTCAGTTATTATTTCTTCCTAAAAACGTCATCTATACTAATATAATAAAGAGGTAATGTTTGTATGTTAGTTTGTATGCAGCAGGTAATCTCCAAAACTACTCATCCGATTTCAAAAATTCTTTCACCAATATTTAGAATGGAACCTCAGGGTGGACATAGGCTGTCGAATACATGTCGAAATTACCCCATTGGGGGGAGAGGGACAGGATTAAGGCTTACTGTGAAAAACTTGGCTTCTATTATACTATTTTAGATGCGGGTTTTTGCGTTTTTGATTGCGTTTTAATAGGGTACGTCAAGAGAATGTACACTAAGAAGAAATTTTTCGAAAAATTTTTCCCCAGGGGGAAGTGTTATACATTTATAATAGATACATTTTGAGCCACAACAAGGCGTGGCGGGGTCTGCTAGTATGAAAATAAAGTGAAAAATACTGTATTATTATTTCGCTTTTTTCACAAACTAGGGAACATCGTTTGCAGCAGCTCATTTCTTGATTGTCAAAAGTTTTCAACTTGCTTTAATGAGAAAAATATTTAAATGCAGCGACGTCTCCAAACTCCTCTATACTCTCCACCTGAATCGCTGACGATGGATGTCACCGATCGTCAGCACCACAAGCGGAGAAAATATTAACTAGCGTCTATACGCTCGGTCTCATAGAGAGAGATAGTTGGCGGACAGCCTTACTAGCGAAGTGATCAAGTGGCCTTGTATGATCTCTATTATAATAATAATTTTTCATAAACATTATTTTCCATCAGTAATTCATTAATTAATATCCAGAAAAAAACATATAACATTAAGAATTTAACCTTTCCTGACATTTAAAACACTGAAGAGTTTCCTTTATTGATAAATTTTCTATTATTTATTATTATTAATAGATACAAAATGATTAATAAAATGTTAATTTGTTATATTATTTTGATAAAGTAAAAGAATGATTATATTATAATAAAAGCAAAATAATAATTATTTTAGGATGGAAACAATGGGGTGCCATTGATATAGCAAGAACAAAAGATAGAATGATATATTTTCAAAGATTAGCCGATGAAGCAAAGTAAATATTTTAAAATAATTCTCAATATTTAAATACTTTAATTAATTTATTTCAAATAATTCGGTTAAAATTATGAAAATATATTTTAAAGGACTTATTATTCTGTAAATTTCATTACTTTTAATAGCGTACTTTTACTAATGAGATAAAAATAAGCACAAATCTTTAATTGATTTTGAGAACTTGACATAAATATTTTAAATTCAAAGTCATCTTAATAAAACTGACTGCTTTTCAAAGCTTTCTGAACATTTATTTGTCTAGACAATATATTAAAAATGTAAAATCTATAGCAATAGACAAATTAAGAATAGATCTTGAGTTTAGATTATAAAAAAATAAAATATAAGCTATTAGCTGGAATGTAGCCTGAAATTTCTGAATGTGGGTCACCTGCATGACTGATGACTTGCATAGACTTCATATAGGTAGGTAAGCTACAGTAAAAACATAGTAACCCATGACCACTAGCTTACATGTTATTGTGCAAGGAACTACCATACCAATATTGATGTTCATATGCAAGCCATATGCAAATCATTGATACACATGATTAAGCTCAATAGAAAAAGGCTAAACATGAACAAGTATTAAATCACAAGATAAGGAAGAATAATTCTTCCAAACGTCATGGCTGTTCATGTAGTGTAGTATTTGAGTATGATGCATGTTTTTCAGTTTCATTCAGTGGTCAACTGCTTGTGATACACTACTTCATGCCACCCCATGGCTACATTTCCGATAAATAATGTGAAATTGAAAGACTATTTTAAATCAGACTGTTTAATTATAATTAATTAACTTTGAGCATTCTGAGTAAATTAATTTTTGAGTTACATTTTTTAAAATTAACAATGATAACCTACATAACAAATTTCTGTTCATTAGTTCTATAGAAAAAGTTTTTTATTGATTAAACTTTTATTTGTGTAAGTAATTTTTTAATAAATTTTATTGGCAATTGTTATTGATAAATAGAAAATGAAAGCTGTAGAATTAAAAAATACATTAAAATTTCTGCAAATGAAGATAATTAAACTTTTCAGTTCTCATAATAATAAAATTTTAGGCAGTTTTATTTTGAGTTTAAAATATTCAAACATAAAAAAATCTATATTCATGTAGTTTCTTTGGAATTTTATATTATTGCATTATGTGGTATTACAATGTTATATGAAGTTGGTATTGCTAACATTTATGCAAGTTAAACATCAAATTTGTGACAAAATGCTCTGTGGAAAAAACCTCTTTTTGAAGCTTTCAGTTTTCAGAATTTCGGATAAGAGGCATTGACCTGTACACTAAATTTCAATGTAACAAAGTTATTTATGCCCTTAATATTTGTTAAATAGAAGCATTTCTTTTTAGAATTTATTACGTATCATTACATACCATTGCAATAGCTTTTATTAAAATTTTTATTATAGGAAAAACTTTGCAAAATAATAAATGTCAAAGATGTAATTAATTCTAGACTTAACACATTTTATAATTTTAATATCCAAATCTGTAATACTAAGTAAAAATTTGTTAGCTAGTCCCTGCTAAATGTAGTCACTACCTCTAAATATTATTGCTAAGAAATATTTTTATGTGGTTTTATAATTTAAAAAGTATACACTTTTGCCATAATTCAGCGCATAGTTTTTTTATTCAGAAAATAACGTTTTCAGCTTAAGTTACAAGGGTTCAGGTTCAGTTACTTATAAAAACTCACATTCAGATTTTTATAATTTCATTTCTTCATGATTAAACTTGAGAATGGCCTATATTATGGCTTGAGAAACATTAATTCTTATTAAAAAAAGATGCTGAATTGCAAAGGATTTTTTTATTACTAGAATTAAAATTCAGTATATGGAGGTTAGGTAATATTAGAGTAAAAATTTCATAGATTATTTACTTGCATCATTTTTAAATTTTACTAACAAGTTTAATTATCTTATAATTAATTATTTAATTAAAATCTTACGAAAATATTTAAATCTTTAAAGGATATATGGATTAGAATTTGAAATTATTGGACCAGAAGATATCAAGAAAATATGTCCATTAGTTAATACTGAGGATCTAGAGGTTTGTAAATAAATTTAAAATTCAAAACAATATTGTTATCTATACAGGAAATAAATTGTGAGTAAAAGTACTTCTTTGTAATGTTAAATTATGAAGCAAACAAAATTGATAGTTTTTTTAAAAATCATTATTTAGAATCTTCAACATTTGTAGAGTGAGAAAGTTTGTATGGAAACATTTCTAATCAGTTGTATATAAAAAATTTTTGAATATAAAGCTGTATATATAAAATTTTTGAGTTTTTACAAAGTATGAAATTGTACCATAAATATATATCGTGAATGTTCAGTTCTTGAGGTGTTTAATTGAAGACAAAGTCTGTCAAAATAATTATGTTCTGGAATACAGCTCCCTAACAATTTGATCTTTCCTTTTATTTAGGCTTCTTGGTCATCAAAAAAATTAAGTGTGAAAAAATATATCTGATTAAAAGGTTAAGAACTCTCTAAAACAGATATTTGTTTTGATAGACTTTTATCCTTCCATCCATACTCTATTGCGATCATACTGTCCATTGAGATCATACTGTCTAATGGGATCATACTTTTATCCTTTAAGAGAAATGCTGTTAATATGTAGATTTCAAGTGATCCATTGGTAATGAATCAAATTTTTTAGTGTATTTTTAATTAATATTAAAACTAACAATCTGGTGAATTTTAAAATTTAATAAACTATTGTTTAACTTTACATCTGATGCTTTTTTTTTTATACAATTATCTTCCTTATTTTCAGATGTGCAATTGATTTTTTTTTTAGGGTTTAACTTCATTTTTTAAATGATGAATTAATCATATTTTAAAATTGAATAAATGTATGTAAATACAAAAATTTTTATTTTTAGGGAGGATTATGGAAGGAAACGGATAGCGTTGCCGATCCTACAAAATTGTGCCTTGCTATAGCCGAACTTGCTCGCAAAGAAGGTAATTAACTATATTAAAGATTTAAGTTGATTTTTTATTTATTTTTCAGTTGATGTTTTATTCTAATATTTAATTTGATGATAGAAAACAAAAGTTTTAGACGCTTTTAACAGCAAAGAAATAATCATTTGTTTAATTAATGCAAACGTTAGAGATGACTGAAAGTGTTTAATTAAACAAATGGTTTCTTTCCTTACTGCTAAAAGGTTTTCAAACAGTGTTTGTTTTGTTGTATTTTATATGACAATTTTTATGGTTTGATACTTTAAATTACGCTTTAAAAAGTTTATTCATCCTCTCATTAATTTTAGTTGAAAGTAAGTTATACTCACATAATATTTTATCTTTGTAGTGTAAGTATATAATAAATTTATTTTATTATGTGTATTAGATTTCTTAACAATTGTTTTTATATTCAATTTAATTCTTGTTACAAATTTAACAACTATAATTTGTAATTATTAAAGCAGATTGTTTAACTAATGCATTTGCTACAGAAAATAAAAATAATTGTTTACTGGGGTAGTCTTTTGTTCAAAAGTTTTTTTTTTATTTATATAATAATACACATTCTAAATTTGCATTAAATAATAGATTTTTGTTTTAATTGCAGATGATTGATTTATTTTTCTTCACATTAAATTTTATCTGTATTTATATAATAAAAGCATTGATATTTATTGTGATAAAGTGTGAATACCAATTTAATCCTAATTATATTATTTGACTAAATAGTATTATTAATTTATATTGGAAATATAGAGTAATGGAAAAATATTGGCTTTTTAAAAATATAATCTTTATTATTATTAAGTGATAACAAGTATATTAATATCATTATTAAAAGTTATTTTTCTATTACACTCATAAATCATGTTATTTCTTTGATACAGTTTAAAAATTGCAAATTTTTTTAAAACAACTTTTGTTTTTAAAAAATTCAAAATGAATATACAATTAAAAATTCTGCACTTTTTTTACACACCTTGGGAACATGATCAAGTCAAACAGCAGATTTGACCTTCATTTTGAGGTCCTTCTCTTCCTCAATATTTAAAATTTATTAAAATTGCTTTTCTGGTAGTAGTACAGATCATGAAGACATGCTTTTAATTTTTCCTTGAGTGTTTCTTCCATTACAGAATTTTTAGTTGCATGTTTGTCCTTGGGTTTTTACTTTCCTGGCTGTTACGTACAGTACACATAAGGGAAAGTATTGGAATTGAGTCAAATTTGACCCTCTGAGTTTTTTGCAAATCTCCACATTTTGAGACCTCCCGAATCCAAAAAAGTCAAAAAAAATTCTGTAGATATATGTGTGTGTTGGTGTCTATTTCACGTAATATCTCAGGATGGGGTAAAGATTAAGTAACAGAATTTAGCATGGTGGCTTGTATATGAGAGGCATTGATGCTATTAAATTTTGGTGGTTAAAGGTTGAGGGGGTGGGGCGATAAAGGTGGTTGTATATATCTCCAATATGGTCAGATTTATGCTGGCTCTCCACTTAGTGCAATTTTGAGATGATTCAATTGTCTTTGTCACTGCTCATGCACAGTAAAATCACCTTCAAGTACTTTGATGACAGAGTATCAGGGCAACAAATATATTTTTACCTGGTGATTCTGTTGCAGCTAATCAGCATACAGTGTCCATAATTCCAAGTGTATGTGATGACGTATTTTTACCTATCATCCTTAGCACTACATATAGTGTGGTGTGAAAATTTTGAAAAGGCACAAATAATAGTAAATATTACATTTAAAAAATTAAATACAAAATTAAATTGGAAAATATATATTTTATTTTAAGTCAAAATTTTGTCACCATTTTAATTTCCATCATTTATTGCAAATCCACTTCCATTTTGCGCAAAGTGTGTAACATAGGGCAGTGATTGCCTTGTTTGATGAATCATCGGGTGACAGCAACATAATCGCACTAAGTGGAAAGCCAGCATTAATGATGATTTTACTTGTTATTAACATTTATGCTAACTCATCCCTACCTTAAAAATTAAGCTTTTTGCCATTTTTATAGTAATTAAAAATATAAAAAGTTTTTTTATAACAAAATCTCATAACGGATGGCACCACATACAATTTTATTAAGTTATATTATAATTAAAATTATAAAAGTTATTTTCTAAATGAAATCTCATAATAGCCAGAAAAGTTATGCAATGCACTGCAGGATTTTTCATCAATGGTATATCTTTAACTAATTATAACCAGATGATCTGCCAAATTATTAAACCATTATTAGCTCAGAGTTCAAGTCCCACTCTAGACCAATCCTTTCTAGAAATTCTAAATAATTAATTTATTATAATTATTAAAATTAACACAAGTTAACAGCTTGATCAGCTACTTCTAGACAAATTACTTAATATCTAATTATTAAATTAATCTTTTAATAGTCTGATAATTCATCAGATCAACTGGTTGTGATTAATTAAAAATTGAGTTATAGATATATTTTTACATTGTGCAACCTCCAGAGGGCTGATTTTAACAAGTTTTATATACTGAGATAGAAGAACCTCGAAATAAGGATTACCGTATTTACTTGCATATAAGACAAGGTTTTTATTCATTTATCACAGCTTCAAATTCCTAGGTTGTCCTATACGTGAGAGTGAAAGATCCTTTGCATTTTGGCAAATGAGTTTTGTGAACTGTTTATTTTCATTTTTTTATTTTGCTTATCCTCTTGTATTTAAAAACAAAAGTATTTTATCTGGGTCATTTGAATCGTTTTTGTATATTGTCAGGAGTAAAGATGATGGGCAATAGGAAAAGCAAAGCTTTTGAATTGAATTCCAGATTGAAATTCCAAAATCACATGGGAGCCCGATATAAGTTTTAATCCATTCCCACATGAAAACAAATGATTATTCGAAAATCAGAATTCAGAGAAACTCGCAAGTGTAATCGATGGAAAGTGGATTTGAATGTTAAGAATTGGCAAAAAAGGTTCCCGATTGTCCAGATTTACATGAACAAATTATGTTGTCAATTTTACAAGATTTTCCTTAAAGTTTAAAATGCCAGTAATTTTTGCTGGACAATGTGTACATTTATGTTTATTTGATATTTTACTTGTGATTAAACAAAATAAAATTAGAATTGTATTAATAAATCTAATTTTCTTTATTTTGATCTTTAAAGTCCCACCTCATCCTATATGCAAGTAAATACGGTAATTCTGCTATGTGTCTTTGTTGCATTCCTGACATATGTGATGAAGGATAACTTACAAAGATGCTTTTTTGATTCTTTTAGTGTTTTTTTTTCATTATGAAGAATTTTTAAATTTGATAGAATTATTTCCAGTGGTGTGCCATGACATTTGATGATAGGGAAGCTGTGTTTCTGTAAGAAGCCAGCTTCCAGGGGCAATTGGTTAATTGCGCATCAGTGATGGTCTAGGGCAGGGGTGGCCAACAGTAGTTTTTGCCCCCGGGACGAATTGGAAAGAAAACTTTTTTCACGGGCCAAACCAGAGGCTGCCCTAGGAAGATTTTGAGGTGGTGCGAGATCTCATTGTGGTGTCACCCCGTAGAGACTAAATTGTACATAGAGATTACAGATACATTCTTTACATTATCGTGCTTTATCAACATTCTACGCTGTACTTACGAGATTTGTAATGGAAGGTTAACTCTAACCGGAGAGCCAGTGTTGACCTTTATTTTTTATTTATTTAGGCATTAGAATTTTTCATTTATCTATTCTGACTTGAGTAGCTAATGTTGGAAGATTAATCATGGGCCACATAAATCCATTACATGGGCCATATGTTGGCCATACCTGGTCTAGGGTCCATTCGTATTCGTTTGTTGATAAGCCAGTAAAAGCCGTAGACGTCTCTAAATGTATTTTTAATATCACAATTACTTTCTGAATCACTAGCTATGATATAAGGGCTACAATTAAAAATAAAATTATAAAAACTTACTTAGTGAAATAAAATGTGTGGTGGATACACATACCTGGTACAAAATATTCTTCAATTATATTAATATACTTTTAAAGAAAATTATAATTAAATATAGCTTTGTAAAGAAACGTACATAAAAATAACATAAAATATTATTTACTTTTTAAATCTTAAAACAATCCACTTAGTCGAGTAGCTCCCTACGAGTGGAATCAGAGATGGTTCTGGTAGTGTGCAGTGTGTGCACTCTAGTTGAACTGGAAAAATTTCTGTCTTTATTACATCTGATATTTCGAAGAAATCAGTCCCCACTGTACTCAGCTAGAGATTGGTTCAGTTAAGCTTTTGTTTAGGTAAAATTTTGGCTCTTTCGTCAGGGTTTTGTTTATGTCTCCAATTCCCTAATTGCTTAATTATTTTAACTACTTCTTAAGTAGAAATAAGTCGAAACCGGTTACTTTGTAGTTGATTATTTGTAGTCTTGGGAAAGAAGTGGAAAGACAAATTTTTATGACAACAGATACAAAAATTGTAAATGTAAGGAAAATAAATTCTAGATTTTTTGTACCTTGTGCATGTCATTCATTAAATTTAGTTGTAAATGATTCTGCCAAAGTAACAATTAATTTTTTAACATTATACAAGTATTGTACATGTTTTTTTCTGCATCCCTTATAGATGGGACATACTAAATCGTAATATTACTAATTTAACATTGAAATCTGTAAGTAATACAAGATGGGAGAGCGGAATAAATATATCAAATATTTTAATGAATTTTTTAAAAACTCCTGTCAACTATACAGAACTATCATAAAAACATATCAGTAAACTCCTATCGGTTGGGTTAAGTTATAAATCTAATTGTGATTCACATAATAGAGTGAGAGTGGCCAAATATCTAGCAGGCAAGCGGCTAACAGCCCAGAACCGATCCTGGATAGAATCGTTGAAAGCGTTGTACGATATTTTGGCATGTAGCATCCACCAGCTAAAACATGTGAGGTTGGTGCTCTGTAAAGCGCATGTGCAAATGCATATAATCTGGCTGCTTTACACCATTCAGATATTTTGCCGAAACTGTCCCATATTCGACAATACAGTGCTTCCATTCCACCACTGATATTCAAATATACGATAGCAATCTTATCGTTTTTTCACATGTAGTATAGAAATTTGTAATAAGATACATAATGCGGTTATAATAAAATATTAATTTTAATTAATTCAATGTACGTTAAAATATGAAAATAATTGCACAATATGTATTTATTTATTAGAAAATACAAGGAAAGCGAGCAGTGCTTCCAAGGAAGACATGTTACTGATTATTTCATATTACCATATAATAAATCATTAGTGACTAATATGGCTAATAACTGATAAATAAATTATTTTTTTATTGTTTAATTTATTAATATATTTTATTAAAAAATTTTATATATAAACATACAAATAATTAATTTTTTTGATGTAGTGTAAGGAACATTTTAAAATTAAATCCAAAATATTTTAAAAAAATAAACAGAATTTAGTTTAATCATTTGTTTTAACAGGTGCTCAGTATTTTGAAGAATGTCAAGTACTTAGAATATTAACTGAAAATAGTAGAGTTACTGGCGTTCAGACAAATTTTGGTATTACTGAGTGTGAATATTTAGTAGTTTGTGCAGGAATGGTATAAAAATTTTCAGTTTATTTTTGATTTTTTATCTACAATATTCTGCAGTTTTAAAAATTTTATTAGTTTTTCAGAATACAAGAGAATTAGGACAAAAGTGCATTCCACCATTTCGTGTTCCTATACATTTCACTGATTTACCTTTCATTGTAACACAACCAGTCCATGGAATTATTCCTTCTTTACCAAGTAAGTCAGCATTTTGTCATTTTACATTTATTATGAAAACTTTTTTAAAGTAATGAAGATTTCTTGAAATTAATCACAAATATTACTGTATATATATATAAAAAACACTTAGCTTAAAATTGTCATGACACATTTTTTCATTATAAAAAAAAAAGCAAAATAGAAACAGCTGCACTAGGAATCAACAAATTGTCACAAAATTTTTATATAAGTGAGTGAAGCAAAGGGGGTTGGGCAGAGAGAGGAGCAAAGTGAATGGAGATGGGAAAGTTGAGCCACCCTCCTACAGGTTTAATGAAGAGAGCAAAAAGAACTGGGATTGGTCCTCACAGGCAGTTGAATTGTCACAAAGTTTTTGTTATAAATTGGGAACAGGTGGGCCAAGTAAGTGGAGTGAACCATATAAACATGGAATTGGAGAAATTTTCTGTGGGATGTTCAAAATAATCATGATGTTAGATTAAAAAAAAATATGCTGTTTTGTTCTAAAATCTGAAGGTTGTTTTGTGTTTGATTTTGATGGAGAAAATCTGAAAGGAAAGTTTTCTTTTATGTGATCTGATTAAACACTTTCTTTTTTCCAATTAATTTGAGTGTGGAGATGCATTTCAAAACAGATCTGAACTTGGAATTTAAAAGATGAAAGGTATATGTATTGAAATTTTCCTTATGAATAGTCTATATTGGGAACAAGTGGGCAAAGTCCCCTGGTAGTGTTGTAAGGACAATTGCATCCTTTAAGGTTCCATATATGTCAGATTACTGAGATTATACTAAACTGTCATTTTTCAATAGAACTGCTTATGAATTATTAACACACAGAATAATCATAAACTGTTTTTATTCATTATAAATTGGTCAATATTACGAAAATTACTATTAGCATTTTTAAAATGTGATATAAGTTTTCATAAAGTAAATTAGAATAAATATTTGATTTTTTTTTTTTAACTTTTTCAGTTATCCGAGATTATGACGGAAAATTCTTTTGTCATAAATATGATCAAGGCATTTTAATTGGTGGTTATTTTAATGAAATGAAATCAAGATTTCATAAAAATTCTGAAAATAAAACCTTGGAATTGGCAGATATCAGTAATTATTTGTTCAATAATAACTTAATTTTTATATTTTACATTTTAAGTATGATGCAAAAAAGTTTCAAATTGAAATATTAAAAATTACCATATATTTATACAATTTAATTTAATTTTTTAATTTTACTAGCCAAATATATCTAAAAGCTGAATTATTTTCAAGTAAGAATAAAGATAACAAGCAATTATTTATTGTGACATTGTCATAATGCCAGACTGCAATTTTTAATCCTCTTTTAATGTAAAAAAAATTACATGCCTCCTGGACAAGACTGGAAGTTTGTATATAGTTAATTGAGGTCTCCAGCCCCTAAGCTTTCCATATCAGGTCTGAATTTTATTGTTGTTTTGCCCCTGTAAGTCACACTGTAAAGTACTAAGTTATTTTTATGCCTTTTACAACGATTATCAACACGAACTGTGTGCCGGAAATAGCCATTACCTAACAGGTATTTTATGTGGATTCAAGATAAATGTGCCAGGCATGGACTTTAAGCATGCACCGAAAGAAATAATGACAAAGTTAGTCAAAAAACAATTCAATATTTAATAATAATTCTAATAATGACTATGTACAAAATTAATAACAATCAAACAACAATTTATTCAAAGAAAATCAACAATAAGAATCAACCCGACAAAACAAAATCTATTTGCTAACTTAAATATATTCCCCTTTGGAATTTGACAAAAAATTCAAAGACTTAACTTATGTACAACAATTCTTGTGAATTAAGGTCTTAACCGTCACCTCAACATACTAGGAATCTTTTTCCTCAATTCTCAAGACTTTCTCTAATCTTCGATCCACAAATTGAATAACTTCAAAACACTTTGGAACAACTTTATCACTATCGGACACCTCTCTCATTCGCTGCTATGAAGCTCACCATGCTCATTGCTAACAGAAGCTCATTTCGTTCATCTTCGCTTGAGGTACAGGCTTTATTCTATGAGGTGATGTCACAATTCTGATTGAGACCACTCCCCTCATTTACATACTTATCTCTAACATTGAACTTTTCCTTTTTGCCTGGCAGCCTATTTCCCGACAATACTTGCTAACCTTTATATTATTCTTTCTGACAATATTTTGGGATTTTTTACTCTTTAAGGTTTAGCAAGTTCCTGAGTTGTGTTTGTGTGGTCTCCCCCCCTCTTCTTGGTGCAGACTTACTTTTTTCCACTCGGGAGCAGTGTGCGTGAGTTTTTTTTATGGCACTTCTCGTTGGTGAGTTGGTTTTTTTCTTTCTTCTGTTTTAAGTTTCTAAGGTGAGTGGTGGGGAAACCTTCGTCCTAACAAAACATAAGCCCCAAACAAAATAGAATAAAAAGCAAAATAAAAAAGTAACTAAAAATAACACCCGGACTTGGTCCTTACAACACTTCACCTGACCTACACCTTCATCAGAGCCCTCACTTTTCTCACTTGTATTCACTTTTCTGAAGTATCCTCACTTTTCTCGTTTTTTTGGTCATTTCCACATGCTTAATTAGGAAGATGTGGGACCAATGAAAAATTTAAAGCCAGACGATCCACTGAATTATTGAACTATTGGACTAGAATTTTCTGAAAGAAAATACTCGGCCTGAACAGGACTCAAAACCGCGACTGCCACTCATTGTTGTTAAGTTACAGGAAACAAAAATCCCTTTCATGTACAGAACTGGAAAGTCAGGGAATATGATTTTTAGTAGAAAAAGTCGTGAAAAATCAGGGAACCCGCAAATACTGTGGAATCTGTCTGTTGCTCCTGCTCTCTTTTGATCCGAACACATCTTTAAATTTGGTTTGGTATAGGGAGGTTTATGATAACTGGAGTGACCAAACAAATGAAAAATTTGTTGTGCTTATATATCATAAACTATAAATGGTAGCTTCACAATTTAAATTTTGTTGGATAGAAGTTTTATGTCTGTATTTAAAATAGTGGGAAGTAGGGGTTTGCAGCTGTATGGGACGGGGTAGCAGTTGCGCATGAAAATGAAAGTGGCAATGCAGTGCGGCATTTGGGCAGTAAAACTTTGGATGGAGAAGAGATAGAACATGGAAATCGGTGTAATTTGTACAGAACAACAGAATCTACAATATTACTTAGCAATAATAACCACTAAAATAGAATTTGTAAAGTTATAAGCCAAAAGCTGTTTGAGTCGAAGAAAATTTTCATAATGCTGAAGAAATTGCAAAGGAAATGCGAACAGTAATATAAGAAACGTATATCATTGGAAAGAAAAATTGAAAAAGAATTAGAAAATGACTAATGCCGAATGATGCAGATTCTAGAGAGCATAAGTAAACCCAGCACATCAACTCTGACACGAATGTTCTTGTTTCAAATCAACCAAGGGTAGATATAGGCTAATCTGGAAAAATTGAAGTGGCGTGTTAAACAATCATAAAAGATGGATTTGTATAGTTTTACATGTGAAGATATGTAAAATTGTGTCCAGGGAATCAAAAAAATCAGAAAAATTCCATTGTCCGATAAGTCGGCATATTCATTAAATTAACATCATTGTAACAATGTTGCTTCTTATTCATCCACAGGAAAAAGTTTCTCGTTATTTGTGAAATCATTATTAAAATATTATTTTACTTATACTATTTGAAATCTGTTTTATTTCGGATTTATTAATTTATTTTTAAATCAATATTTACATATCTCGAAGCATTAAAAAATAAACAGTTTCTGATCATGCACATAAAAGTTTCGTTTTCTGCTGCTTGTTCATAGTAAGAGTTGTTAATTTTATTTCAAATTACTATAATAGTCACATTACAAAAATGGAAAATTTATATACAAATAAAATTTTGAAATACATTAAACTATTGAATTGTAAATATATTTTGTATAAATCTAAATAATATATATTTAAAGTTAATTTTCTAAGTATTGCTTTATTTTATTGGTAATTTTTATTCTTCTGTTCTATTTTAATACGTGCAAAGAAGTGACCAATCATGTGAAGTGAGTAAACACGTGTGGTCAACACGTGTTTACTCACTTTCAATTGTGATTGAACAATAAAAATCTCTAGCAAAATGATACCAACAAACTGTTGGTTTATAACAGGTTCCAAGTTAGAGTATAGACGATGGATGCAATGGTTTGAATCCACTGAATATGACACCACCAAAGTGTAAATTCCGAACTGTTTGGTTGAAATAAAAGGACAAGGCAGATTGTACAATAAGATTATGGGCAACTGTACAGTACATTCAGACACGTATTTTGCAAAGTATGTAATTGCATAATACAAGTGAAAAAAGATTTCCAAACACTTTTAGATCATGGAGGTATGCCAAGCACAGACAAAAACTTATCTGTGCTTATGGTCCAAGACAGTTACGCCTGACATTGGTTGGACCAGGCGATAGTTTCCCAGGCCCATCAAAAATTGATGAAATTCCAAGTAATACTGACAATGTGACTGGAGAAGGATTAGCAGCTGTGAGTTTATATAATTCGAGAGATGCTGCATACCATGCAGAACGAGAACGTGTATGGCCCATGAAAACAATATGTAGTAATTTCTCATTCTGCAGATACCTAAATTCATGGTTTCTTGGGTAGCAGATGCAGAAACATTGCATACACACATCAAAGCTATCGATATTGCTAACCTGTCACTGCACAAACTTTTGATAATAGGATCAGATGGTCCTAATAGTAACCAAAAAGTGTTACGACTTTTTAAGGAAGATGTACTGGAAATTCGCAAGAAAAGCCTTGTTGACATTGGAACATGTACGATTCATATTATTCATAACACATATCTGAAAGCATTAAGTGAACTGGGTGAAGATGCATTTGAATTATTGTGGCAGTTTACAGATTTTTTGATGGATGGCCTGGGAAAGTTATGAAGCTGTGCAAGAAAAGCTCAAGTTGCCTAAGCATAATTTATAAAACAACAACACGTTGGCTGACATTCCATGATGCAGCATCAAGGTTAATTGAGCAGTGGGAGGGTATAACGTACTACTACTTAAAGTATATTCCTTCAAGTAAACAAAGCATAATGTCAAGTCTTTGTACAGAATTATATCTTGTTTGTTGAAGATTCCTTCCATGAAAGCAGAAGTACTTCAAGGCATTTCAAGTGTTGAAATTTTCACAAAATATACATCATTTTTTAAAGAGAAGAACCTCTAATACATCTCCTGTACAGCAAACTATGGGACTTGCTTCTAAACCTAGTTATTAAAATTTTGAAAGTAGATATTTTGAAGCTTTTGTATTAAATCTAAAGAAATTGTATTAAATCTAAAGAATTTGTATTAAATCTAAAGAAATTGTTTGACAAAACAAATATTTTGCTATTAGAGGAAATTATTTGCAATGCTGAGTGAGGTTGCCAATGAGTTGAGTAAATTATCTCAAAAAGATCAATTGCATTTTCGCAGTTGCTTACAAAAACACTATGTTGTGGCTTCCATATATAAGGTAGAAAAAGCTCCAATTCAATGCAAACTGTTGAAATCATTGACATGTCTTCGGCAAAGTAATATTAGTGAAAAAAACACTTATAAAGAATTGTAAGTATTGCAAGAGCTCTTCCATGTGAATTGCTGAGAATACTTTGCAGAACAAGTGGCGGCTACTTCAATTTGAGCGAGAGTGATTTGACAGACTTAACAGATAAGAAAATTGATTATTATTGGAGTAAGTATTTTAAATTGGTTGACTCCCTTGGGAACACAAACTATCCCAGTTAATGAAATTGGTGAAATCAGTATTGACCCTCTCTCGTGGCAATGCTGATGTGGAACGGGGATTTTCAATTTCATGCCGGCCACTTCCTCCTGATAGAGCAGCAATGTCAGAAAGGATGCTCAATTCACTTTTGATTGTTAAGGAGGGACTAAACATGTATGACCAAAGCTCACATCTTGTACCTATTACGAAGGATCTATTGAAATTAGCTGCTTCAGCACATTGAAATTATCGAGAACAATTGGAAAATGAAAAGAAGTTAAAAGAAGAGAAACAG